ATTTTCGCGTGACCGCCATAGGAGTAATCAAGTAATTGCAATGTGTGATAATACTAACACGACGACGCAGAGTATAGCGGACTACTTGTCACAGTTACTAAAAGACAGAAAGCAGTTAGCTGCTTTCCCTAATGTCTTCATACATGTAGAGCGCCTACTAGACGAAGGTAAGCAACCATTAATCCACTAATATTCTTCTCTTCTGTACATTATCTTCGGCGAATGCATCACACTTGGTTTCCGTGACACGCCTTGGCGTAGTTCGCATGACTTAACGCCTGTGTATAGCCGATGCATCAGGTTCTCTCGATTCGAAGCATGTCCTCTTCTCTATGACCGCGAAACTTTCGCCACAGTTCTTATGTGTGTGTGAATATATATATATATACATATACACATCATATATATCTATATACATGCTCTCTGCGCGCGCGCGCGCGCCCGCGCTATGCGTGTGTGAGAGATTCGGGCCGGGAGAGTTACACGCTACCCCGCTACCCGTGCTCCAGTGAGAAAAAAGGAAAAAAAAAGGAAAACAAAGTCGAACAGACGAGACGTTAAGGAATACTCGTACCGTTCATGGGAGAGATCTCTCGTTGCCTCATAGTTTGCCATAATCGGCAACGGGCTGCTTCCAAGCCACCGTGTATATGCCTCTCGGCCCCCGTACATGTCACGTGTTTTAAGCGTCCCGGTAACTGCTCTCTTCGTGGCCAGGTTGACTCGTAATTTTCCCTCCATCGGAGATCGAATGGGAATTAATTTTCGGCCGAACGCGACTCGACGCGAACGCTAGTGACAATTACCAGCGTGACTTTCGGCGGATCCGTTGCCGAACGATTCTCGGGACTAATCTTGACACGAATTCGATGTTGCTGTGACTCGGCCTAACCCGGCCCAGAATCGTCGCATACCACCAGTGCTCGGTAAAATTATTGTTTTAAATAGTAAACAGTAAATAATCGATTTTATTCTGTGCTTTTAACTCGAAGCGCTCCTCTGGAAGTACTACTTACAGATGAACGCTGTATTTAGAGGTTATCCAAGACATTCCTCGCTTCATTCTAAAGTATTCCTATTCATTCTTAGGTTATAGTACCGTTCCATGGATCATTCTTATCGTTGACCAATATTTGAATTACAATATTGAAATATTTTATCTTACCCTTGAGATTGTTGGACATATTTTATTTATTCGAATTTTTCATTCTCGATGGAAATATTGTTTCATCGAACGTGTACAACGTGGAAGATTCGAAAATATTTTTTCTCGAAATTTTCACCAAATCTGTATACTGCAGAGGAAACAAGATATGAAACGAAGGTGGGGGGAGGCGATTGTCAGTGAAACCGAAACGAACCGAGTGTTTAAAGAACAGTGACCGAGAAAAATTAAACGCTGGTGCCCCGTGCACACGTACACGCCCTCGCGCTCGCGCTTACGCTCGCGCGCGCGCGCGCGTGTGCTTTATTATTTTGCTTGTTTTTTCCCTGACGTTTCTCTTATTCACGTTCATTCCGCTTTTGTATTCTTGCGCGTGCACGACGCGAGCAATCGCGGGAACCATTTTGGTTGGCGTCTGTCGTCGTTGGATTTGTGCAAACGCAAGGCGACTCGCTTGTAAATAAAGAATTTTGCATTGTTACGCGCGCACGTGTTCGCGTGTCCTCAGGTAGATAAGATTTATTGATATTTTTCGAAATTTATAGAAAGCCAGCCGCGAGCATTAACCCTCTATAGGCTCGCGTAACTTTGAAGTCACGCATCAATATACTGGGTTAAATTGATTTAATTTTTTATCGCAAAATGATGAATGGTATTAAATAATTAATCAACTTGAACTTCTGTGCACAGGTTACGTTCGACGTGATTGTAACTTGAAAGTTACAAAATATATTCGTCAATGAAACTATTGAATACTTAATTTGCGTTAGTATGTTGATATTTATTAATTTCATACCGCGTAAATTTCGTTATAATAGCGAAAAAAAATTCGGCCCATAGAGGGTTAAATTTGCTTAAACTTTGTTATTATTGTCGTGACGCGCGTTCATCTGTTGGCGTTGCATCAATTCATGTGCTTCCCGATTAACGAAACGTTCGCGTGGAAAATTTTTGTGACAAGAATCCATTGTTCGGCTTGAATTTGATTATCTCGTAATAATTTCAAATAATCGTAATATTCGATTCCTAATGAAGCTATTATAACCTAAAAGCATCAACGCCGTACAATATTTCTTTCTCACTAATTCTTGAATCTTTCTCATTTTCCAATTTCTTTAAATCATTAATTAACGTTGAAGAAAAATACTCGTATTCATCAACGGCGAATTATTTTTTTTTAATACACACTCTACTCTAGCCTTCGCAAGACCGTTTAACGAAGCTGCTTCATTCTCAGCTTGTTTATCACAATTAGTAGCTCTTGTTTACATTCGGAGACCGTAGATAAAGCAGATCGCGTCGTTTACCACGCAAAAGATAAAAAAGCCGCATTGTGCAACAACAATAATGCGCATTTAGATTGTAACCGTATTTTTTGGAAACCAGGTGAAAGCGTGTGCTCGCGGTGATTTTATTTAAATTTTCGTTTTTCATTTGTTATTCACAATGTACGTACACCGGTGTGGTTTATAGTGTTTCACAAGAAATGTGTCAAATGACGTTTACGAGCAGAACCGGTTTTACGAAAGCTCTCGGACCTCTCGCATTCCTGTGGACATAGTCCTGTTGATGTAAAGAATTTTATTTTACCTTTTCTCCGCCACCTGAATACATGATATTTCGTTATTATTTAATAACAAAAGTCCGGTTACAGGTATCTCGTTTCAGCGTCGATTACAGCCGCGTTCTATAAACAAAATGTTGTTTCGTCGATGGAGAAATTTCGCCGGAATCGTGAAACGCATTCCACCGATAAAATGTTCAGTATGTAAGAAATATATTTTTGGCTGTGATATAATGTTACCGTATCCAATGACTCATCCGCATTAATTCATATTACCAATGGTTAGATCATTTCTAGAAAGAAAAACAACAATGTTGTTACGCGGATCTTATGATATCAAGAAAGATACGAGTTATAAAATAATGGTGAACATCACGATCGAACGTTGATTAAGAAAACTGTTATAACAGATTTTCTCGTGAAACTTTTCAGTGGGAAAAGATTCGGGATCTCCGTCGTCCGTGCGTTTTCGCGGAATGGAAACATTTAGACTTGAAACATTTACCCTTTAAACACTGCGCAAGGTTTATCGGTTTCTGTTTCAAAACGCGCCAATCGTGTTCCGTAATCGAGTTTTTGCATCGAGGTTAACGATTCCTTTGCAGTTTGATATCCTTGAATGCCTTTTCGTGGGTTACTCGTGAAATATAAATTTTCAGCAGTATTGTGGACGTTAGCGGTATATCTAAAGGGATGTAAATAAACAAGAAATTTTTAACGACCGAGTCCGGTTGATTCAGCTTTCTTAGTCGTTGAATTAACGAGTTTCGACAGAAAAAAGGATATGTTGTACTTGCGATAGAAATTTGACGATGCAAAAGGTTTAACGTACGTAGACGTGGATTATTAATCGCGGTGCATCGTTCATGATAGTTCGAACGTATTGCGATTGTGTACGGGAGATCTATTTTGAACACGACGTAGCAAGTTTTCTCAGTGACCTAGTGGCGTGAATAGAACTCGTTGTCAAGCACGTCCTTTCGAAACTGTCTAGCGAAAACTTGGACAGACATGAGGTCTAGTTTTCTTCTGCTACTGGGTCGTTGCGCCTAATCGGCCAATCGCCGAATGGAAACGAATAAAATTATGCGCGTTCGAACGCGAAACAAACTAACGACTCTTGGCTGACTCGCGAAATCAGCGGGTATAACCCGTCGAATTAAGAGTAATAGATGATTCGTTGAATCACTCGGTCCCTTGTCTTGCAGTCGAATGGAACGTTTGGTGAGAAATCGAAATTCCGAATTTAAATTGAATAAACAAATATTAGATTCTTCTACATAGAACTGATTATTTTTCGAATATTAACGTTTAACCTTTAGAATAAAAGTGTATGTACAAGAAACAGAAACTCCCTTTTGTAGCTAGTTGACAATTAATTTCCTAACGTCGAAACAAGCTAATCTTCTTCCAATATTAATGTTCAATTTTTGGGGTAAACATAGCTACGAGGAATATAGAAACTATTTTTTCTAACTGTTAACAGTAAAGTAAGACAAGGGACTTGATATTCATTCAAGTCTTAATCCGAATTCTTCCGTGTAACACTTGAATGCATTGCATCCTTACGGTACGTTTCATTAATAGTAGTCAATGGAACAACAACTCGTACCAATACGTAATGCCATGTTTGTTTGTTTTCACGGATACGTATTGCTTGAGGGATCACTTGGTCCGACGTGTTGCGTGCCGGACATTCTAGAAAAGAGGTCCGGCGGATTGTGTATGTGCCGCTTTTCGCGTGTTCGTTTGTGCGTAGCTAGTTGGTAATCGTCCCCCAACGGTGTAATTCTTTCTCGTACTTGACCTGGCATGCTTACAAGTTTTTGTAAGATCCAGCCCGTGCGATCGGTGACGATCCGCCGTGGGTAAGATGCGAATCGAGCACCGCAGCAAAAAGGGGACCGATATTTCCATTCCTCCCGGTAGGTTTCTAGTTAGTCATTGTCCTCGTGAATCGAAGGGGTGGAAGGGATGAAACGATTAATCAGATATCGAAGACACTTGTCTGGAAACAATCGATCGGACATCGGAGACATTTGTCAAGAAACACTTAAAAGCAGCTTCGAAAATGAAAGTACTATCAACCCGGGATCTCTAGGAGGTTTTCATTCATTCGAGTTTCATTCATCGAGTATCTGAAAGATCGAACTTCGAGACTCATTCATGCGGATATATTTCGAGCATCAATTGCAACGAATAAATTTTGTCCTCAGATAAGAAATTTTCCTTCGCCGAGCATAGTACAGTGGTAATAAAAATGATCGTTATCAACGACTCCATCTGCTTCTGATCTGTGCCACGGATCTTTTTGCCTGGAATGTTTGAGTAGATGTGTTACGAGATACCGCGAAATTGTAGATGCGAGCAATGATAATGTGTTCTTACGAAACGTACACATACTTGAAACTTTGAAGTATTTCGCGAACGGGGGAAAT